AGTTTGACGATGCAGTGGGTTGACCCTTGTCGGTTGTGGCTAGAGAAGTAACGCTTATCCTGGTAGTTGTAGATAGGCAGATACCTCTCCAAAATATAGTCAAACACGTAACCTAGCTTCAGCCATCGACAGACTAAAAAAAGAAAAAAAAAGAAAAAAATACCCGCACGCTTATATTCTTGCAGTGCACGCACGGGTGAGCGGGTAATAGAAAATTTTAGTACACCTTAAAATAAAAGCCTGTTTCTTCTACTTTCCCGCACAACACTCGTAGAGCCAATCACCGGAACTTACGGAGGCAGCTCAGCGAATGAAGAGGCCGAAACGTATGTTTAGGCCCAAAAACGCAGTCTGAGTTGTGATGTTAAGCAATGCAAAACGTCACATTTGCATTGCTTGATGTCTTAACTAGGACTGCGCTTTTTTGGTCTAATCATATGTTTCGGCATCGTCTTCCACTGGGCTGCCTCCGTAAGTTGCGGTGATTGGTACTCCGACTATTGAGCGGGAAAGTAGACGCACGGGCTCTTTTTAGCGAGTAGCTCGTTAGGGGGGGGGGGGGGGGGGGGGGATGACTCCGATCACTATACCCGATACTCCGCCGACGGGGGGGACCGGCGGCCGCGTGGGCGAAAGCTCGCGTTGCAGAACCCAGGGATCTTTGGTTCGAGCCCCACCCCTGCCCGCTTCAATCTGGATGAGCATCGTACCAGCGTGCGGTCGTGTATCACTACTGCGTGGTGCAGGTTAAAGACCCCAGGCTAGCGGTTGTACTGCGCTCATCTGCAGCGTGTGACTGGCCGCAATTTTTAATGGTTGACCAACAACACGCTGTATAAATATCCCCACAACCGCCCAGCCCCCCCCCCCCCCCCACCAAAAAAAAAAAAAAAAAACCTCCGCCGACGCTTTTGCACGTGCATCGTATAATCATGGGCTGCTGTTATCGGTGTTATCAGGACAATCTACTAAAACTGTTTATTAACTGGGAAAAACACAGCATGTCCCGCAAAGGGTGGTTCTCATTTGAACCCGTTCGCATTTCTACCTTCTCGTTTTTACCTTCTCATTTCAACCCAGCGCAAAACAACTTACGCGTTTCTCCCTTTCTCATTTAAACCGTTCTCAAAACAAACTTTCGGGTTTTGACCCTTTTCAAAACGACTTTTCTCATTTTAACCTTTCTCATTTCAAATTTTCTCAAAACATACTTTCTGGTTTTGACCATTGTCAGAAAGACTTCTCTCATTTTAAACTCTCTCATTTCGAACCCAAATTAATCCAACATCATGATCTCGCAATCTTTCTGCGGTATTTATGGCGAATTCCGGTAATTAATTGCCTTCGAGCCCTTGCCGGTGGCACCGGCGACCAAAAACGCGCCAGCGGCGCATCACGTGACCCTCTCCACCCGAATGCAAAGCACAATGAACTGGCGTTTTTATTTGACTGGGTCGCGAGTGAGCTCTGTTAACTTCTTCGATCATTCTATGGTACCATGAGCACGCTGCATACGCCAACAACATAAATTACGACTCTTTGAGATGTGTGTAAACAGAAGCGGCTTCACAAAACTTTTCAAAATATTGGTATTACCACCGTCCGTACAGCTGACAAAATATTAAAATATAAAATCAATGAAAGGGCAGATGTATAAATCAGTGTGGTGCTGCCCGCACGCGAGTCAAATTTCAATAAACTTCGTTTGGATTTTCGATTAACTGTTGCCACAGAGGCTTGCCAGCGTCGCTTTCCATATTCTGTTTACTGTTAGTAGAGAGTTTTAGTAGATCGTTCCCATGACTCCGATAACGATACCCGATACTCCGCCACCGCCTCCCTTGCGCATGCATAGTATCGTTATCGGGGGTATCGGAACGATCTACTAAAACTCTCTGGTACCTTTTTTAGAATCCTCAATCTTCTCATTGGACTCACCCTCCTTGAAATTGTAATGCGTGTTCAAGTTTCAAAGTGCATCACTATGCATACTTTTTTTCAGCGGTGTAATAACTTGTTATTACAGAGTTGTAAAATAAAGTGATGCATGACGCAGCCCGTGTCTCAGAGCTAGCAAACATACCTTGCTCAGGCTGGATAAATTCTTCCAAAAATGTTGACTTTCTTTGAAACATAATTTATATTTCTCTTCGTTGTTTTCGCTATCTTGTCTCAGAGCACAAAATGGTGCCTGTCTCGATGGCTTCGTTTGCCACTCGAACCAGCTATTTGCCGCATCAACGAGCATTGTTTCGTTTGGTTTTCTATCCCGATTCGGATGTGACGATACCGGATACAGCCTGCCAGACAAGCTGCCCGACCTCTTGGAGCTCGGGAAAACTTCTGCTGCTGGTAAATTGCCGCTACACGCCTGGGAAGCGCAACCCGAAAAGGTTCCACCCGCCAGCCTTTGACCACGCGAACGCCCTTACCGAAGATATGGGAAAACTTTTTTTCAGGGGTAATGAACACCCGAATTGGCCATTACAAGCAATAGCACACGACTAGCACAATGATCCATCCGCTCCACACGACGACATCTTAACGACATACAGCGACAGGAGAGAAATGAAGTACCGAATCTGCGCGAGCACTTTTGAAACCACTTCACCATGTGACCACGTAGCTACGTCAACAGACTCGGGGCGGCACGCAGGCATAAGGAAAATTGTTTCATGTGCTATGCAAGAGATGGTGCCGCTTCGCTTCATCTTCAACCTTCATCCTTAACTGTTTTTCCTTCTTTCTATACCTCACTACGGTGTTCAAATGACAACGGGTTCAAATGAGAAAGGGTCGAAACGCGAAAGGTTAAAACGCGAAGGGCGTTTTGCGAAGGGGTTCAGACGAGAAGGGTTCAAATGATAATGGGTTCAAATGAGACGGGTATAAATAAGAAAGGGACGAAACGCGAAAGGATAAAACGAGAAGGGCGTTTTGCGAATGGGTTCAAACGAGAAGGGTTCAAATAAGAATGGGTTGTTTCGAGATACACCCCCAGCAAATGGCGACGTTCGAAGGGTGTTTCACTCGAAGGCGGAATCCGCAGGGGTCAATGAGCCTGCCGCGTCACTGCCACATTAGAGAGTTTTAGTAGATTGTTCCGATACCTTCGATAGCAGTAGAGAGCTTTAGGGAACCGTCTTTGCACATCCCATACGGTACAATGGGCACTCTGGTACGAACTGCACATATGCGAGTCTTCTGCGATAGCACATGCGTAGTTTGTATCGGAGTGCGCACACACACACGCACACACAAACACACACACACGTACACGCACATGCACGCAAGCGTCGCACACACACACACGCACACACAGACACACACACACACACGCGCGCGCGCGCTCACACACTCACAGGCACGCACGCACGCACGCACGCACAAAAAAAAAGTTTATTTGCTCGGCGAGACCACATAGAATTCACGCGTCGGAAGAGGTTTACTCCAGTAAAACGTTGCCTATAGACCTGCTTGCTCGCGAATTGTACGTATGTTTGTTTTTAACATTCGCCTTGTAAAACCACATACCTTGTTTTGCGTTGGAATTGCCAACGTTGTCTAAACCTTCTTTTCTCGTGCACCGCAATTTTTCTAAATCATGTATCCTTGCCTTTTCAGTTAGGTTACCTTATGAGCTGCGAGTCCCGTAAGAAACGCAGCACGTAGTGTTTACCACGGCGTTATCTTCATGCTTCTATAAATTTTTGTTATTTGTTCATCGACGTTCTTATCAGTGAATGGCGAAAGTTCACTAGCTGGGGACCGATAGTCACATGCGGGGAAGCTTCCCACGGCTCCCCCCCCCCCCCCCCCCCCCCGCGCCTAAATTCCGTGATCCCTGATCTCACATCGGATGCCGCCCCATCAAATGCATTGCTGGTTTCTATATTCCCAGTTTCTTCAGTGACTACGAATTGTTAAGGTGCGCTACGTCTGAAAAATCATTTTTAATTGGGGAATACTGCTTTATAGACATTTGTCAGGACAGGAGGACAGTACAAAATACTTTTGAAAATTTAAACCGCGAGTCGAGCAACTGATAGACATTTTTAAACATAATGTCAGGCCGGCTAGGCATGTCATGAGAAAAACGAAATCCGGAAAAGTTGTCCGCGCGTCAACACGAACAAAATATTCCACGTATATATTAAAAAAAAAAGCAAGGATGCACAGCTTTCTTAAAGAAACAAAACAAATAAAAATGTTGCCGTTGTATTTCTGTTTATCCATCAAAGCAACTCATGCGAAATGCAGAATAACCCTTTTCGGAAATATCCATCGTCTTTTTGGTGCGCACGACGGCAATCCAATGTCGGGCGCGTGGAGTACTTATGAACAGAAGGAGCGGGTCAAGTTTCTTTGGCATTACGAATTTTTCGAAAGCAACGAAAGCAGAACGATAACAAAACAAGGCGCGTACTAGTTTTGTGATGTGGTCGTTCTTATTTCTTTGAGTCCTAAACTCACAGTGTTAAGAGAGAAGGAAGATGAGCTAGAATGGGTAACGCGAGCCGGCCCGAGCGTACTTCCGAACGGCCCCACAATGCCCCACGCCGCGCGGTGCAATGTGGGATTGGCGAGAAGCCTTGTGGGATTTTCCGGAAATGACTATTTCAGAATTGTAACAACGCGTCTCCTCGCCGTCGTCCTTTCGTGCCTCTTGTTCACCGTGACGACGCGGAAAATGCTCGGGCGCAGATGAGGTCAGGGAGCGTCGAGAGAGAGGGGGGGGGGGGGTTCTTGACAACCGATTTCTGCGAAGATGCCCAGTAAGGTGGGGGCGTAGGTGTTTGGCAAGCGACCAACACGCCTTCAGCCGACACGTAATCTGGATCTGCTTCGGTTAGCACGCGATTCTGCAGTAATAAATATCTCGTGACGGACACGAGACATGTTTCAAGCTACCTTTTTGAGCATCATCTTTATAACTTGATCTATGGCTTTGCTGGAAAACGTTCGTACTCTCTTTAATGCAGGAACAGCGATACATTCGGTGGCGCCAGCCATTCGTCGATGTTGCTCTTTTAATGATGACTTCCTGCATGATTTCCGAGGTTGTAGTAAGTCGCCTAGGAATTTGCTGTCGTCGCGGCTGTTGATGTCAGCATATGATATTTTTTTTTCTTTTGAGCGCGAACATCACACGGTAATATGCAGAAATGTTGCGAGCTTGATGAAATTCGTGTTTTATGAGATTTCTTTTATTTTTTAACTTTTAATGCGAAGTTTTACAAAAGCTCGATGAAGCGTGCGACTGCTTTGCTCAAGCGCGAACAATAAACATTAGCTAACCCACATGGAGGATATGTGTGATATGTATCCGGTACACCATATGAATCTAACAGACAAATTAAATAATACTAATAAAAATTATGTTTGGTATCACATAGCGTTAACATTAATGATAATTTCCTAAGACCTAAAAGTAAATTCTATATAAATTACTTTTCCCTATACTTGAACAATTCGTGTGGAAGTCGGACATAACTGTTCTACAGTCGAACGTTGTCGAATGTTGACAAAAGATCGAAGGTCCGCCAAATTACTCGAACATCAGGTTCAAGAAAGTTCGCAACATCCCTAGCTATAGGAATGAAGAGGCGCGTTTTAAAATGCAGACGTGTACTCACATCCGTATCGTAGAAACCGCAAAGATTCTAAGTTGTCAGAAAGATTTTCGGCACGGTTAAGTGCTGGCTGGTCAAATGACTGTTTCGGGTATTTTGATGTTTATACGGGACGCCAACTTTGAAGGTGATACCATCGGCCCGAGGTTCTTGTCCCAAATGTTTTGGTATGCTTGTGGACTGTGGGGTTTGTTGGAGTTCGTTTGACAAGTTTTTGTCTAATTAGAATATATGTAATTAAAAACATTCGTTTGAAATTATTCTTAAAGTTATTTTGCTAAGAACATATGCTAGAAATTATAGTGTCAATTTTACCTTTGTTCAATTTGTGTGGACGTCGGGGTTATTAAACTATGTTTACCCTGATCCAACTTGATGTTCATGTTTAAAACAGTTAGTTGCAATTTGGCACATCAATATATATATTAATGGTTTTTACACTCTTTTTACCATGGACACAAACTGTTAATGCAGGACACATTGATTGCGGGGCAGTGCATCAACTAAGGTTTTTAACCAATTTTTCGTGACAATTATTCGATAAGTAAACGGTTAATTTGTCCAATAGGAACACTGATATAATTGGTCTGATATGTTGGATTTCCAAAAGCTTAATTTAGAAAAAGAATATAAATTCACTAATGCTTGCTTGGCATTTCAAAGCTTACTTCAACAATGTTCTGCTTAATCGGCACTGATGTTGATGCACTTCTGGAGATAATGATTTTGTTTTCCAAAAACTCAAGAACATAATGTGACGCTGTTCATTGGACCTCGAGAATCAATCTGGTTCAAGTTTAACCTTAATGTCCGTTTTGGCACCAATTAACGTCTAGCTTTTCTCGAAAATCAAGGCTCCTATGCACAAAACAAGCTAAAAGGTCCGAGGTAATTTAATCAAGTTGGTCTAAAAACAGCTAAGAAACCGATGAAAGATGGTATATGTGAGTAAATCAATTGTCATTAGTGGCAATAGCGTTGGGAAGGGATGAATAAACCATGTTTCAAATAAGAAAAAGAACTAAAGTAGCACTGAACTAGTTTTCTAAAATTAACACTATTTTGGACCTCCCCCCGTATATGAGGTCAAGAAAAAATCGTTACCTGGAGAGACAGGGGCCTACTCTAAAGAGCAAGCACTTCAATATGATAGTTATTTAATTACGTATTTGAGAATGCAAAGTGTGCACTCGATTGAAACTGTTTATTGATTTTTTCATACATTCAAATGTAATTGACTCACAACAGAAGCGCTTAAAGAGCAAAGAACAGAACAAGAATAAGTATACTGTTTTTCTGACATTAAGTTGCCAGTTACTACTACTATAAATGGATAGAAAAAAGGTAAGATGTATCATTTACCTTTTGTTTGGTTCTTACGTTTGGCGCTTGATATGGTGTTAGGTATTTAATATTCAGGAACATCTTGAAATAAAAAAAAAAAAAAAACGCTTGAGTGCCCTACAAGCGATGAGTCCCGGTGAAGCAGAAACCTTCCCTTTAATTTTTTCATGTTAAATAGTGCAGCGGCAAAAATGATTCTTGGTTCAATTTTGTCCGGTTAAACATTTAGTTACTACCTAATGCATCATTTGGTTAATCAGTAAGTACATTGAATAATATTATACCCCTAATAATATAAAAAGAACAGTACCAATTGTTTGTATAAAGAAGTCAAATGGCACGAATCTTTATTTCAATCATAGACCAGTATAAACAAGACCATAAACATTGTTATAGGAAGTGCAACAGAAAAGACGTCATATGTCATTCAATTACAACGGGGTAAAACTGCAGGAAAACCTAGCATTACATTAATAAATATTATTTGAAAAGAATCTGGTTTTATGCGTCAGTTATACATAAACCTACTTTTCGTGTTACCAAATAAGAAAAATGTTGTCAAGACGTTCTAAAGATTATTTATCTTTACAAGCTTTATTCCTAGGTATATCTATTGAGGGTGTTTCCAACGTAATACATTTTAATATGAGTTACACGTATATTGGGATAAAAACATCCATTCATTTAGTTTGATAGCTTCGGTCTTCAAACCTGCCTTCGTTTTATCTCTACACTTTTAAAAATAAAGTACCATGAAAGATACACGAACTTTTGAACAGAAGAATGCAGGCAGCTCATATTTTTATGAATGATAAGATAGACACGCGCAACATGTCAGAAGGAAAGTGACAATGTGCCAATGTGACAACACGCTCAAAGCTTAGTAGTATTGATGCCCCACTTTCACGCGACCGTTTCCGAGCGTGTTGAGCCGCTAAAATTGCTTCGAGGGTGTGTGTCTCATAGAGCTCTGTCTAAAGCCTAATGTTTGAATTCTTCTTTATTACACACAGAGCATGAACATGGACATTGGACACTGGACTCAGCGAGAGCGAAGGCTTCTCTTTACTCTCATATTTATGAGCGTTTTTGCCTTCTGCCTTTTTGTTACGGCCACAGTCCTTGGAGAGAGAGCAAGGGGTGAGTACGTCGCGAAATTTGGAACCAAATATAAAGCAATTTTTAGCTTGAATTTGAGTGAAAAGTGGAGTCCGAAGCGAAGTTGAAAAAAGATAACATCTTTAACTATTCTGGCATGTATTCACAAGAGATAATTCGTATATGCTGTAGTGGAGCTATTTCAACAGCAAAGGTTAGTGAATCGCACTAAGCTATAGAGCTCCCACTAAACGGTTGGGTTTTTGTTTTTTTGCAATGACATGCCCCTCGATTTAGGCCCATGTTCTTCATTGGAAACCTTTGGAGTCCCAATTATTTCGGCGAAATGGGGCGTTTAGACTTGTCAAAAGAGCAGACAAAAACTGTTAAAATGTACACGCGGTGTTCCTAAGACACTATACGAATCCTGCGAGACATATTAACGCCAGCCAGTTTATGCTTGAGCTAATAAAGGATAAACTAGAGACTTTCTACTTGGAAGGGTTAGTTAAAGGCCGACGACGACTTCTGCAAGGCAGAAGATCCTCCTCACCATAGGGGAGGAAACAGGCAACGGTGGACATGGCAGAAAGAGGGAGAGTAGGAAGTAAGGGTAAAGTGGAAAGCGCGAACTGGTCGTCGGTATTTAAATCATCACTTCTGAGAAAAAGTTAAAAAAAGAAAAAAATGAAAATAAATGTTTTTAAAGAAACGAATTAGGCTTACACGTTAAATAGTGCAACGATTGTGAATGGGAGGAACATTCAGTTTTATCATTTATGAAAGATGCAACAAAGAAATTGTAGAGATATAAATTAAAAAAAGAAAAAAAAAAGCTGCAGCTCGTGCAAATGAATTAGAATGCAGAAGGTATTGTCCGACGTCGTTAATTCCCTACTCGATTATTCGCACGTTCGCAGTAATATATATGTCATATTTTTACAGAGACACGCAAAACGCACAAATACTATGCCATTTATTATTCATGTGTCAAAAAATTGTAAAGGAGTTTTTTTCTGCCATTTTCAGAATTATTGGCCGATGAATGCTTCGTGACAATTCTTTGTAAGGCTTACGAAAGTCTGCAAAAGTAAATAAAGCTTAAGCATGTATAAAAGCATTGACTTAACGATAGCCATATGATATTTTTTTTCACATTGAAGCGCGACGCTTCGATGGAAAGCTTTCGAATTATTAGGATCTGTGAAACAATTACATTTTTTATGAGAAGCAAGGAGAATTCGCATTTAATTGATTTATAATTGAAATGTGTTTTTTAAACTTCGGGAAAAGCCTTTTATGTAGTTCAACAAAAAGTTAATATATTAGCCTTGCATATTTCAGTGCGCTACGTTGCAATAAAACGACGATATATACAAAACTGTGTAATGTTTTAGTTTTGTTCTATCATGAGATGAAAGATCTCAGCCGCTTTGACTATAGGATTTTTGTTTTCCAAATGTTTATTTGACGGTGTGGCCTTAACAAAAGAATGTACGTTTTGCTTTCATTTCTATTAATATAACGTCATTAGTGAGACTGCCTAACGACAAAAAACACTATTTCGCCGTATTTCTCTGTGATAAAATTGCGCAAGATTTGAATTTGCTAGCACCAATTCATGAGGTTCTCTTGAACAGGATTTGCCTATCTTTGTTATCTTCTAGATCAGGTTGGTCTTATGTAGGGACTTGCTTTTTGGGAACTAAGAATTGAAAAATATTTACCCATTGAAACTTCATAATCAAATAATTAATGAGAATAAAAACAAAGGAACATTCAGGACCGTAAAAATGTTTAGACTAGATCATTGCCTGCCAGCAACAGTTTAAAATAAATCTTGTAAAATAACTCTGAATGGTTCTTCGACTTATCCATATATAGCACACTAAAAAGCTATTTTAAGCAGTCGTCAAAAGGGATCTTCGAAAAAAAACTTGTAAGGGGTTCATTTAAGCTCCCTTTTCGAAGCGAAAGAGCTATCTATCACCCAATTTCTCTTCTAGTGTGCCAGATGGCGATAGTACTTTAGGCGAAATCGTTCTTCTCGAGCTGCAAGAGTTCTTGGGGTGTCGAAGAACCTTTTAAGAACGGATTTTTTTAGAGTGTATAGCCATTCCAGTGTTGACTGGCGTTTTCCATATATTTGTTTTGTTTCTGGCATTGCATTTTTGGCACTCTCAAGAGGTGTTCTGCAGCCAAATTAATTTTTCTACGTCGGATTCGCTCTCACTCTATCAATCAATATATTTTATTTCGAAAATTCCCGTTAAGGGGCCTATTTTAATGCAATTAGGTGCAAGATGAATAAGTGCGGGTAGGCTATTTCACAGAACGTTAACGCTAGAAGATAAATAAAACGGTATTCTTAAACTTAGGTTATCGCCTTCTCGCGCAATTCTACTCCCGTTGCTACACACGGCGAAGGCCACCCAGCCTTTTATAAAGCTTTGCCGCTTCATCTTTTGCAGAAAGGGGTTACGAGCTGGAACAGGAGCGAAGTAAAACTTTGCCGACACCGGTGCCCAATGTGACGATACCGACAACGGTTTCTTCATCCGAAATACCAAATTCGACTGCATCATCCGAAGCGACATCCTCGTCGTCTGGGAGCTCAGGTGTGACAAAGGCCACGACAGAGTCAATGTCGACGGCGACACAGCCTTCCTCCATCGTCCAGCAGTCAAGCCCACGAACAGCCTAAACTAATTACGATATTATTTTTTTGTTTCGTCCTAAAATCAGGCGAACAACTCGGTGAGGCCACTGAAATAAAACAAAATGTGGGTTACACGCGGCATGCATGGGGCCTGGAAAGTGTCTCCTACTGGCATGATTAACGCCCTATTCCACTCATGCATAGAAAAGGGGTCCCAAAGTGGCAACAAACGGCGTCACAGAAACATGGAGTGTCACACGCTGTCGGACATGGCGCGATCCTGGTAGTTGGTCGTCGAAGTTCCGGCAAAAAGCACGAGCGAACGCGAGTGTCGCTGTTGTCGCAGCGTCCCGACTCCTGGCTGCCGAGGCTTCTGTTGACTGTCAAGCAGGAGAGCGATCTACAGCGAACAGGCGCCTGTCACATCCACTAGCGCTGCTGTGACACCGCCAGGATCGCGACCGGCGACAGCATGATGCTTCTGTGACGTCATAGGGCGAAGATTGAGGGACCAGATTTTCGGACCCGGTAAACACACCAGTCGGAGACGCGTTTTGGACACCGTAGTATTGCTAGAATAACTGTACCCCAAAGTACGTTCTATGAGATGACACACTATTATAATTGACAGAAAAAAATAATCGTGAATAGCAAACATAAACTGCGGTATTACATAATTTGTTTTTCTGTTTGGAATGTTCAAATTATACAGGCATCGTTAAAATTATTGACAATGAGCCGCGGCTGTAGGTAAAAGCTATCTTAAGTGACGGGGTATTTTGAAAACTCGAAATGGCGTAAAGTCTCCTTACATGCTTTCGGTAAATGGTTGTTTGGAACGATTTCTTACATATTTATTTCTCAGCCACGGAACGACTAGAAGAAGCTGGTTAAGCACGATTGGTCCAATAAAACTGAGACGGTATACTAATTTTATTGACAGCAATTGCACTCCACACTGTGTTTCAAATTGAATTGGTGTTGCATTTGACATCGCATGACAAGAACGTGTTTGCTTGATATATTGGATTGTAAACGCTGTTTCAGGAAATTTCTTTTTTTATCTTCGTCAGGTGAAAATTTGGAACGTATTTTATATCTATACATGTTATGAACATCTTTTAGTAAAGTTACAAGAAACAAAATGTGCAAAAATTATCAGAAAACGTAACGTTGCAAAGGTGGTAGTTTATAGTGATGCGTTATCAATAAAAATAAATAAAACAGCACCACAAAGACGAAGAGTATGACAGAAGGCACACGAACACAACGCTAGATTCTCGACGATATCCAGAATACGCATCTAATTACTAGGACTACAATTTTATCTAGACTACATATTCTCGCTTGATAAATCAAGCGAGCACGTGTAGTCTACACACAATTAAAAAGTTGGACTAAACACACACAAAGGACGCAAATGAAGCGACAACACAATTAAGTATCGACGCATGGTATAAACGGTCATATGGCCTGAGGTTTGAAAGCCATGTAATATTATATATTTTAACAATGGCTTAACAAACCGTTTTAAACTATCATGCCTTCTCTATCGTTAGAATTAGTTTTCAAATCTTGACAGCCTCTGAACGTAACTATGTTGTCACCGCATGTATCTTTTCGCTGTTTCTTTTTAACATATAGGTGTCTGCCTTAAACATTCTACGCATTTGAGAGGAAAACTGATAAAGACTGAAACAGCGTTTATGTAAGACAAACTCATGTATAACTTTAATAAAATACCTCAGTTTTGTGGAAGCAAGCGAATAAAAAATATCTACCAGATTGTGGGCACAAACATAGAAGCTAATGGCAATAAACAGAGTACTATAATAATGGACTAAAAACTTGCTACCAGGGTTATAAAATAATTTTAGGAAAAAATAATATCACATACCATATTAAATAACATAAAATAAAACGCCCATATTTGGTTTAGTTTTTATTATTTAGTCACTTGAAATGATTAAGTATGCATTCCAGTTTTTTTTTTTTTTGGAAAGTGAACTTTGCCTAAATGAGTGTTTATTCAATAGCCATGAAAATAAGCATTTAAGGTTCGAAAACACGCAAGGTAGACCAAATCGTTGGTTTTCCTGAAATAAGTTTTCTCTCTGACGCCTGCAATAGACTATTTGCTATATCCTCCAAGTACCCCGGCCCGCACTAAAAGAATCATGGGAACGGTGTTCTTTCAGGCCCTTAGTGATCGGTAGTTTCAGCCCTATTCTTGGTTACAGAGGTTTCGAGCGCAATTCAAATTCACCGTGAACAAGCGCCTGACATACCCCAATGACCGGTCATATCGCTTTCAAGATTTCTCCTCAATGTCAGCGTTTTTTGATACTGTGCTTGCTGTCCACCCATCAACCTGGATGGGCTGCAGAAATCTCTTACATTATTATCATGCTGATATTAAGTTAGAAACGCTAAAAATGCTATAAACAGCCCCGCGGACTCCGAGATAAATCCTGGTTTTTGTTGTTGTGATTTATCGCCTTTTTAAGCAATTCCTGATCAAACAACAATCACGAGAATGATGATATTGTAAGAGATTTCTGCCGCTCAACCAAGTTGAAAGGTGGACCGCATGCGCAGTATCGAAAATGCTGACGTTGACGAGCAATTTTAAAAGGTGATATGACAGGTCCTTGGGGTATATCAGGTGCTTGTTCAGAGTGACCTCGAATTACGCTCAAAAACTGCGTAAGCACGGAGTTGCTCGAAAGTTGAGCCATCATTAGGGAGGAACACCGTTCCCATGATTCCTGGAGTGCGGGCCGGGGCGCTTGGGAATACTGCAAATGGACTATTGAAAATCTGTGAACTGTTGTTGAAACCCGCTAGAGAGGTGGTCATCTTAAGATCTTCGTACCTCAAATGGTTTCCGTTTCTGTGGATGAAAATTCAGACTTCAAAGGTTCACGTTCACATCGAAGCAGGTGAGGTCTGTTAAGCGCGATCCAAACCAATGCTTCTTTTTGCGCCTGTAGGTCGTGCGGCTGCGGATGTGACGCATTTCCTGACGTTTTTGCTGTTTCCGGGCGCGCTTTCTGAGTCAGAACCGTGCGCTTTGGTTTGGACGGGCCAGCTTCGGGCGAGCGCGCACGCGCGCCACAGACTGGCCGGCCAGGCAAGTCTGTCGCAGCCAGAAGGCGGCGAGAGAGAGAGAGATCGCGTTGTTATGTTGGAAGAGAATAAAAGTGGGGGGAGGAGAGGGCCAATTGTGGATGCGCACCGGGCGCTTTTTTCACTTGCTCTGAGAAGGCGGCGAAGAAACGCGGAGCCGGAACTAGCTTGCCCTCCACCGATTGGCCGAGACACAGGAGCGCCCTATACGTCACCGCGCGTTTTTGTGCGCGTTGAGAAAGAAGTTGAAATTATCCAACTTTTTTGTGCGCGCCCGGAAGGAGCGAAGAAGTGGCGCGACGTCACGAAAATACGTCACATCCGCAGCCGCACGACCTACAGGCGCAAAAAGAAGCGTTGGTTTGGATCGCGCTTTAGTGCTGCGACAGTGCATGGTCGTCTCGCAGCGCTTGCCACCTGCCCATTATGCGGCCGGCCAACCAGCATTGACTACAATTTAAACGCCAAGACTTCGACATATGTCTATTAGTGTCGATAGTTATTTAAAATTGCACGCAACTGACTCACCTCGCGTCTAGTGCCTCTGTATATCTTCGCGAAGGGAGCAGTGTAGCGCACTTCTCTGATCCACAGACGTGAGCCAGCAGAACACGCCCCGCAAAACAGGGAAAAGGCAACGATCACGTAGTGCACGCCGGACAGGAGGAGACGCACTACCGTTTTCATCCTTTCGATGACCAGAGCCTGAATAGGAGCCGCAGTATGCCCCAAATTTAGCGCTGTGTGTAGCGGTGTTAAGGTGGAGTATGGCTCTACATTTTAAAAAATAAGGGTGTCATCTTACACTCTTATGTCCTGTATAATGCACCCCAAAACTTCAGTTCGATGTGCAGCGCACTATAGACAAACAGATGGCCACAAATTTTACGAGGGGCTTGATAACGGTGGGATATAATATATTAAATAGCTAAAGTACGTATCAAAGACCACAGAAAGAAATCAGTGAGGTTTTGCAGCAGGGAAAAGAAAACCTCGATTATTTTTTTTGTGGTCAGTAACACGCACATTAGCTATTCTAATAAGTTGTACCACGCGGCTATCAAGCCTCTCTTGAAAGTTAGTACCGTCAGATCGAAGTCAGTGCGCTGTACGTCCCACTGAACTTTTGAGGTGTCTTATATGGGACAAAAGGTGTAAGAATACACCTTTTTTAGGGTGTACATACGCGGCATACGATACTTATATACAGGCTGTATGGTCGTAATTCGAACTAATGTAGTAAAGAAGTTTATGAAGGCTACACTAACGCTGTATTTGCGGATGTGTTATATTAACCCCCCATATCCTGTTCCTCTGACCATATAAATTATCTGGTCGGAGGAACAGAATATAGGGGGCTGATTGTCACAATAAGCAGAATTACTTAAAAGTTGTTCATTATATGTTTAATTAGTGAAACTATACTACAAGACGTATGATTTCAATTAGAAGCCCTGCTAAGCGCCATCTTAAGCAACTAAGTCAAAATTTAAAGTGTCTTGAAGCTGGGAAGAGAGGGAATTCTACTTCTATATTATGTCTCCTTGACTTTTTAAATCAGCTGCATGGACCACGTAAAAGTACCTCTCAGGGCTTTTTAGTTTTGTATATTAGCCTCCTCGAACTGCAGTGAAGCACCCTGTATAAATGCGTGTTTTCCTTCCAACTTAGTAACGGGGTTGGGGCAAAAGATTTAATTTTGAGAGAACAATTATATTTGGGGGTATCCTTAATACAAAACGGAGCGCAAAGAGCAAGTATACGGCTCATTTTCCGCACTCGCATTAATTACTAGCCATTGAAGCGGCTAAAGCAGACACCGGTGCCTCATCCGCCCGTCAGGTTTCTCATGTTTCCCCCATTTCCAGTTTTGTCACTCTTTAGACGACTGTATTATGATTTATTGCGAGACTCATATGGCAAATATTATAACAATAAGTAGATTAAAAAATGGGCAGCGGCCTTAACTTTCAAATTCTTATATGATAGATGAAATGTATTATATGGAGTTGGTGAGGAAATTGGCGTGTCACATGACATATATTTTGCCGCTAAATTTACCAGACAAAGTGAATGGTTGTATAAATCAGGTGATGTAATGACACTGGACGTCGATTTCCCCCGCAAAATGTTGTGGGGAAACTGGATTGTTGTCTAGGTTACAAGATGTGAATTTTCCAGCTAAATTTAGCGGGTAACTGAATTGGCGTAAAGTCAAACTCCTCTCTGTTACGTCACGGCGCGGTGATGGCACATTGGGCGCACTTCCGGTCTGGGGCTGTGCGCGGAAGCTCCCATGTGAGACCTGTATTTCTACGTTGTTTTAAAAGGAACCTGACAAAAAACCTGCCTTCTTCTCAAAACGCCACGAATGGGGCTCTACCAAAAGAGTCGAGAAAGGTTTGAAGATCATTTTTTCATGTGCTTGGTTCGGCCGAGAACGTGGATATGTGCCGTGAAAATGAAAAACCCGACGCCGTCGGGCCACGATTCCTTGGGCAAGAAGCACTTTGGGTTGCATTCACAGATACTCGTGGTCATCAGCTTTATTTGCTTTGTTCCAACATGAACGCCGGAAAACCATCAAGTTGTACGGACCATCTGTGGACTACGTTCAGTGCGTCTTCAAGTTCGAACTGCCGCCTGACAGTTCGAACTGCCGTTTGCTCTTTCAGACGCTTCTGCTTGTCGTCTGCTCTTTCATGCAACACCAGACCGTAGACCAAATGTTGGCCCGGTACTTGCTATAAGAAGTAAATTCAGGCCTCAAAAGACTTAAGTTTGAAGGTTGGTAAGCAGGCTCGATGTAAACAGTAG